ACAGGCAGGCAAGACTTAAAAGCCATTGTCCACAGAACAGACACTTGGAAAGAGGGACCTCAGTGGAGACCCTGATATAACCCATGTCCCAAACTCTGAAGCTTCATGCTCTTTCTCCAGCTGGGATGGAGAAGACCTAAGATCCAGGCAGACATCAGCACTTGTGTGTGACCACAAGAAGCAAGAGCATTCACCTGGTGTGGACCAAAGAAACAGGCAAAATCCTACCTGTGTTTACCCTCAGCCACATCAACCAGGTGCTGGTGCAGCCAGGAAGTCACCAAGGCCTCTTGCTGCCCTGCGTCCCAGGACGTGCCATGCTGACTTGGAGCAGTGTCCACACTGTCCCTCTGGGCCAGCTACTGTGAGTCTTCTTGATATAGAGAGGAGAGCACATCTCTGGCAGGAAACCAACGCTTGAATCAGCCATTCCTTGGCCAAACCCCTCTCATTGGGCCAGTGCTGGAGATTTTCAGTTGAACACGTGTTGAAAAACGGCGTATTCTGGAATATCCAAGAAGAGCAGATGGGTGTAAGACACACACTACAGCTTGCCGTTCAACCCCTGGGATTTTGCCACTGCCCTCTCCCATCAGACCACATTACGTCCCACATTCAGAGCTCGACGCAGCAGCACAGCTTTGTGCTTGGAGCCCAGCGGCTCCAGCCAGGCCCCCTCTCACTCTCCAGTTGCAGACTTTTGATGCTTTGGGTCGGCTTTCAGAAGGACTTTGCTCCTACACTTCTTACCTTGTGTTTGCTGCGATTTCCTCCTCCATGACAGCAGGCCCAAATTCAGCTGTCGCCTGTATTATGTGGAGGTCTGTGTCCAAGCACAGAGAGGAACGAAATGCCCACAACGCTACCCAAACCCAGGCAGGCTGCAGTCTGAAGGTGTCCTGTGGGGTCCCTGGCTGCAGAACAAGCAAGAAAACACACACCCTGGAGCACAGCAAGCCCTGCTGCCCTGCACAGTTGCACTTGCTGGGACAAGGGCCCGGCGGGCAGCGAGCGCGCGGGGCCGTGCGGCCTGACGGGGTGCAGCGCGGGGACCGGCCTCCGCCAAAAGGCCCCGGGGCCGCTGCAGGAGAACAGCCCTGCGCAGAGGGGGCAACAGGCCGCGGGG